TGATAAACCCCCTCCTCAATGAACCTTGTGTTCTGGGTGTCCTATTTTTGGTGATTAAACATACATTATCCATGAGACACTATGACAAAGGCATCCCTGTCCCCAGTTATTTATCAGATGGTGAACCCAAGGCTCAGAGCATCCACGTGACCTCTCTGAGGCCCTATGTCCATTAAATGAGCGATCTGGGATGACCAGAGAGCTCACACCCTTATCATCATCGTCACCTCCGTGAAGACATAATAATACAAAAATGCACTTGTGCAGCCCTCCACGTGCTCACGTTGGCTTCACTGGAAGCCGAGTATGCCATGCTCCTGTTCACCTCTGGTCTCCACTGCCTGTGCCGCTCCCGCCGCTCTCCGTATCTTCTCACTCCTCCTTATTCATCCTTCGAATTTCACCTTCTGCAGGAAGTCTTCCCTGACCTACCAGCTCTCCCCTTCTTGTGTGCTCTCAAAGCATCACACTGTCCCGGCACTTATCACACTGGATGACAGCCCCGTGCCTGCCTGCATCCCTCACTAGACAAGCACTGTGAGAGTCAGGCTTCGATCTGCACTCGCTCCCCGCCTAGGATCTCTAGCCCTGCGGCTGGTGACCATTTCAATGACTTATCCGCTGAATGGATGAACGCGTCTTGAGACTTAGACCCTGCCACCAGATCCCCTTCCCATCTGGGATCTGCAGTCCAATGGAGAGGTCCCTGACTTGCAGTCTTTGAGACGATCACTAACTGTGCGCTTGTCATAGTTCCAACGACTTCTTCCCCAAGGCTGGGAGCCTTCCGCTTTGGGCCAGATACGAGGTCTTACCCTTTCCCGCTGGCTCTGTTTGCAGATAACACTCAGCATGTTGCAAAGGATCAGGGGTAGAACTCCCCACGGAGACACGATTCCTGGCTGCGGTGTTACAGACTCTCTGCCTGCTCCAGCCCCTGCCGCTGCGGGCCTGCCCGGCCAGAGGCATCTGACTGAAGCAGAGCACAGGGACCTGCCGTCTCGGTTTATGGCTGCCAGCTGCGCTTGCTCCCCTGTTCTCAGAGCCCACAAAACAATCCATCTGTCCTCTCCATCCCCGCGGCCGCCGCCCCTGGTCAGAGCCCCATCACCATCTTTTGGCCTGGGATGCGGCAATGGCCTCTAAGTGGTCTCCCTGCCTCCAGTCTCACCCCTTCGGTTCTATTCTCTACGTGGGAGTGATTTTTCTCAAATGTAAATGTGACCAGGATTAAAGCCCTTTGGTGACTCCTCACTATGGACAGGATTAAGTCTAAACTCCTAAGCACAGCCCAGGCCCTTCGGTCAGCTTCATTCTCTGCCCCTCTCCTGACATGCCTCTGCTCCAGTACAGAAACTACCAGCACGTTCTCTCCGAACTCTCTACTTCTTCATCTGCTCTTCCTTTGTGTCTGGTCCTTCATTCTTCCCTCTTATTTGTTCAGTTCAGTCCATAAACATTTATTAAGTGCTTGTTATGTGCCTGCTTCCATTCTAGGGGAGGGCACCCCAGAGGTGAACGGTACAGGCAGAGTCTCTTATATCTGGGGAAAAAACGACGAAAAAAATGACATGAATCAAATAACTGTGGATAGTAGGTACGTGCTGAGGAAAAGAAAATATGGGACATCACAGAGAGTGACATTAAGGGTTACCCGAGGCTGGGGGGTGGTCTGGGTGTCCCAGGACTTGGGAAGCAAGTACAAAGGCCTTCCCAAGGAGGGTGGGGGGAGCCTGGGGTGTAGGAGGAGCAGAAAGGTAGTGGGTGTGGGCTCAGCATCAAGGGGAGTGTTTGGGGGGACAGCTGAGGTGAGCCTCAAAGAAGGCTGCTCTCTCCTTCATGGCCCTCCCTGTACCCGGGCAGACTGTTCTCTTGCCACCCCTGACACTGGTCCATGGCAAGCACCTTCTATAGGGCATATGGGCCAGCCTCCGATTTCAACCACAGTGCCCTGCATAGCGCCTGGCTGGTGGCCGGCTCTCACACGTGCGTGTTAAACAAGTAAATGCAGTCACAGATTCCGAGAGGGACAACCAAAGACTTCTCCCCTCTGATGACCCACCAGGGGAAGCTGGTGTAGGAAGAGCCGGTGAGTCATTTTTAAAGGGAGTTCCCCTTTTAAGGCATTGAGCAGTGCACCACGGGAATCACCCATACGGAGATTAACTGATGGTGTCAATCTGCAAGGCTTTTTATTTGAGCCTCTTCCGTGGAGGAAAAAAAAAAAAGGAGCAGGAGAAGAGTCTATATTTAATGTTTGGGGAAAGAGTGCAGAATGGGCACTCAAATATTGATGATGACAACAAATACTGATGTGAGTCAAGAGAACGGAAGGAAAACCCAGAACACAGTGTCTGTCGAGACGTCTAAGGGCTTCCCAGAATCTGAGACAGAGGTCAAGTGCTTAATGGTTTTCCTTCCTCTCTTGCCAGTGGTAAAGAAGGGTAGACGCTGAGGAAGGTATGGAGGGTGACACGGAGAAGGGCTGGAGCTAGAGGCAGCGCCACTGTGACCTGGGGGCCAAGTGACAGAGAGCAGGGGTGGCCGTGTGACCAGTCATCCTGATACAGGGCCAGGTGAGTGTAAGCCCGCAAGAGCTTCCACACGCGCCCTCCCCTGCCATCGGAGCCTAAAGGAATTCTCCTGACATCCAAGATAAGAATACGAAAAAGAATAGTAACAAAACAAAATTCTGACTCTTTAACCCACTTCCAGCCTCCTTCCAGCCTGCCTCCTGGCTACCTGCTGCTCTGCATCTCCTGTTCTCCTCCTTCCCCAGCAGTCCCGGGCACACAGGCCATCCTTCAGTTCCTCACATCAAACCTGCCCTACCTCAGGACCTTTGCACCAGCAACTTCCTCCACCCGGTACAGTCGGCACACAAAAAATGACACATAATGAAAACATGAGTTTGGATATATGTATATACTCAGGTTACTCTCACCACATTCAAGGTAATAAACATAACCATTGCCTCCAAAAGTGTCTTGGTTTTTTTCTTTGTGTGTGTGTGGTAAGAACACTTAACATGAGATCTACACTCTTAAATAAATTTTAAGTGCACAATACCCCGTGAACTATAGGCACTAGGTTGTAGAGTGGATCTCTGGAACTTACTTATAACTGTACCTTTATAACCACTGAACATAGCTCCCCATAATGCCCTCTCTCCATCCCCTGGTAGCCACCATTCTGTTGTCAGCATCTATACGTGGGACTATTTTCGATGCCTCGTATATTTGGACTCATGCCTGTATTTGTCCTTCTGTGACTGACTTATTTCACGTAGTACAATGTCTTCCAGGTCCATCAATCTTGTCACAAATGGTACGATTTCCTTTTTTAAGGTGGAATAATATTCATACACACACACACACACACACACACACACACACATATATATTTACTATGTATATTTACTACATATATATATATATATTTACTACATTATCTATACCCATTCACCTGTCGATGGACACTTAGGCTGTTTCCATAGCTTGGCTATTAAGAATACTGCTGCAGTGAACATGGAAACGCAGATATTGCTTTGTGATCCTGATTTCAATTCTTTAGGACCCAGAATACCCAGAAGTGGAATCACTGGATCACACGACAGTTCTACTGTTAATTTTTTGAGGCCCCTCCATACTGTTTTCCATAGCAGCTGTACCATTTTACATTCCACCAACAGTGTACAAGGTTCCAATTTCTCCACATCCTTGCCAACTCTTATTAGCTTTTTTTTGATAGGAGCCACCCTAACCAGCATAGGAAGATATCTCATTGTGGCTTTGATCTGTATTTCCCTGATCCCTTGCTCTTCCAAGGCTGTGTCTTTCTTGAATTTGGGTCTCAGGTGAAATGTCACCTCCTCAAAGAAGTCCTCCCTGACTTCATATGTCACTATGTAGCACCTGTCAGTGGCTGGTAATTTTTCCTGATAGTTCGTCTAGGTATTAATTGTGTCTCCCCCACTAGAGCATCCATACCATGAGAGCAGGGACCACTGCCCTTATTTACCTATGAATCCTCAGTGCTCAGAATAAGAAGGCCTTCAGTAAATGTTGGCTGAATGAACCAATTACTTCTGTGTCTAATACTAAGGGTCAAGGAAAGGGCAGGGAGCAAATATTTATCAAGCATCTAACATGGCAGATGCTGAGCTAGGTGCGTTACATGCAGTTTCTCACTTAGTCTCAGAACGGCCCTATAACCGTTTTTTCTTATCTCTGTTTGACAGCTGAGGAAACTGAAGCACAGAGAGGTTGAGTAACTTGCCTGAGGTCACACAGGTGGAAATCGGAAGGGATTGAAGCGAAACCCAGGTCAGCCTGACCCCACATGCCCTACCTTTTCCACTACAGTGAGCTGCTGCCCCACATCCTGCTCCTCAGAACTTCAAATCAGTCTCAATTTTGTTCCTACATGCTGTGTGACCACGAGCAACCTGCTTAACCTCTCTGTGCCTAAATGTCTTCAACTCTAATTGGGGGAAAAAAAGAGGGTTTCTATGAGCATCAAATGAGCTACAATGTACGAAAAAAATTATAAACAGTGAAGAAACTGGACAATATAGTAGATGTCAGCTATGCCTGTGACCATTTGTGAAAATCTTTTGTGCCACCCCAGTCACTGACCCTGATTCCTGGGTCTCCCAGTTGGGTGTCATGTCCACAAAGACCTCAGAGTTTCCGGCTGTGGAGAGACCCTTTGTCTGTTGTTTCACTGGTGTTTTTGCTCACTCTGATTCCTCTGCTTGGCAGCTCCCTTCTGACTTCACCTAGTCTGGGCGAGCGTACCCCCTTCTGCAACCACAGGGACGAGCACAGAAGCGATCTGCTGATGTGCCTGTCCCCCTGGCCACGGCCCCGAGGTGGGGATGCTGCCTGGCTCCTCCTGGGCCTGCCCCGAGCCTGGCATGGGGGCTGGCGCCGGAGGTCTTTGGCAGACCAGCAGAGAGGCCACTACTGCCTGCGCGGCCGAGCCCTGGGACCACTCACGTTTTCACTGTTGATGTCAGCCTCGCTGGGGCAGCCGAACAGCTCCCGTCGCAGGAGATTCCCGTCGTACTCCAGGAAGGTCAGGTAGAGGTTGCGGAAAAACTCCACGTGCTTGTTCTTCACCCGCAGCTTCTTGGGGGAGTTCCAGTGAATGACCTGGCAGGTGACAAGGAGGCAGTCAGGCCGGGACGACCTGTGCTTGTGGGAGGCATGGTTGGGCACTGGTCTGAGTACTACCTGGGGGCCTGCCCATTCATTCATTCATTCATTCAAATGCATTCATTCATTCAACATTTGCGGTCCAGGGGTTAAGAGCTAGGGTGCTGAGGCCAGACTGCCTGGGGTCAAATCCTGGTTCTGCTCTAGGCAGTGATTTAATCTTAGGCAGATTACTTAATCTCTCTGTGCCTCAGTCTCCTCATCTGTGAAATGGAATAGTAACAGCTCCTGCCAAGGCCAGTCTCTGAGTTTTCATCTCTTGGCTCCAAACCTGCTTTGTGATGCTGAAGCCAGGACTCTGCCAACCCTGCTTCTGCTGTGTCTGCCTGTTCAGCACCGCCAACGGGGGCAGTGAGAGGGAGACAGGGTCTGGAGGGGGAAGAAGGAACTTGCCCCTTCCTGTGTTCCTGTCCCTGCCCCTTTCTCCATGCCAGTGGCGGCGCTTCTCTCCTTCAGCAGCAGCTAAGCACACTTTGCAGTGTTTTTCAAAGCTCCGATGCAGCGTCATGGTCCTTTGTCCCCGCCCGGTACTGTTCCCTCTGGAGCTACCTGCTGACCCCAGAGTGTGGCTTCCGGCCCGGAGCTGTAATAACTCCTACCTTTTCCCTCTGTTCCTTCAGCTCCAGGGGTGGGAACTGTTTCCTGCAATTTTCTGTTTTCGCTTTTACAGTTACCAAGTGAACACTTTACGTCTAGTTATCATTTTTAAAGATTAAATTCTCTGTTCAAATAATTGGTATGGTTTTTGCCTCCAGCCAGGACTGATGCATGCACTGTCTCCCAGAGCTGCCGTGAAAAAGCAACTCATTAATACAAGAAAAGCACGTAAGTCGTAAGGACATGCGCTCCATGAGCCAGTACATGCTGGCTCCAACTATTAAGTGCCTACTGTATATGGAGTTGGGAGATGGTCAGAGGCCCCTGCGGGCAGCGCCTGCCCCTGGCTTGCTCACAGTCTGCTGGGGAGCCATGTCCCCAAACGGGTAACAGGCGGCAATTGTGGAGGGAGGATCAAGAAGACATGGCAGCTCCAGAATGCTCCGAGAAGCATCTCTCAGAAGGAGGTACCTGTGCTGGGGCTCGAAGGCCCAGCAGGAGTTTCCAGGGGAGACAGGGCCTGGGTGGGGGGGAGGGGGGCAGATGTGGCTGCAGAGGTGACAGGGGAGATCCCGGCCCTGTGGGACCATGTTCTGAACTCAGACTGCATCACTGGAGATTTTTAAGGGGGGCAGGGAATTACTAACTCTGGGTTTTGGGAAGATTACTCTGATTGTAATGGAGAAGATGCGAGTGGCAGGGTGAGAGGGCCCAAAGCGGGACCGGGGACACTAGTTACGAGTCAGCTGTGAAGCCTGGGGGCATGGCTCACCCCCGGGGCTGGGGAGTCATTTCTGAGGGGAACCCTATGTTGCTCCACAGTGTTTCACATCCACTGTCTTCCTTTAACCCTCACAATGACCCTAACAAGGAATGCAAATTTAAAGATGAAGAAACTGAGGACTCTCCCTGGCGGTCCAGTGGTTAAGACTATGTGCTTCCAGTGCAGGAGGTGCGGGTTCGATCCCCGGTCAGGGAACAAAGATCCCACATGCCACAGGGCGTGGCCAAAAATAAATAAATAAATACGTACACACATAAATTTAAAAAAATCAAAAAATTAAAATAAAAAGGATGAAGAAACCATGGAGATGTATCTTGCTCAGGGCCACAAAGCTGGTAAATGTTGGAGCTGGGATTCAAACATAAATCTGAAGAAATCTGATTCCAAAGTTCTTTACTCTGTGGAGAACGGGAGAAGCCACGTTCTAAAGACTGCTTTTTTCACGCTGCATCACATTACAGAAGAGACAACAGAGCTCTCCTCTTCCCCCACTGGCCCCCCACGGCCCTCACCCTCTCCTCCCATGGCGGGACGGACAGCCTATCTGACCATCTGAGCTGGGGAAACACTGCTTTGTAAGACCAAGCCCCTCTCTCAAGGTACAGCGAATAACAGGAAACCTATTTGGTCCAAACCACATCACGGCTCTCCCCTAATCAGCAAAGGTGTAACTACAGAGCAAGACCCGGGGCTGTCAAAGCAGCCTAGGTCTGAATCCCAGCCATCCTCTTCACTAGCTGTGCGTGTCCTTGGGCATCTTGTTGCATTTCCTGGGGCCCCAATTTCCTCACGTGCAAGGAGGGGATCAGTAACCCCAACTTCACAAAGTGGTTATAAGAGGGTTACACAAATGCCTGGCACAGTGCCTGCATGTCACAGTGGCTCCATATATGTGGGTTCTCTTCCCCCTCAAAGATGGGACCAATCTGCACCACGAGTGCTCTGCCCTCCTTTCCCTCCCGCCAGCAGGAGGTCCACTGCAGCCGTGAGGAGGGAAGCAGGCATCTCGCACTCAGGAGAGGGCAGAAAGGGACGGCAGACCCTCCTTGGAACGAGGCCACTTGGCAGTGTTTGCATTTCAGGGAAGGATGAGTATACAATGTGCGATTCTCCTCCTGTGCCCTCTGAAGGGTGTGAGAGGGAAGGAGAGGGAAGACTCCCTTGAGAATACACCCAACCCGGGCAGGAGAAGGTCCCGGGCCAGGCATTAAAATAATTGCATGTGAGCTGGTGACACTCATACCCAGTGGGGATCACGTCTTTGCTGTGAAAGATTCTGGTCCTTGCCAAGTGCTGAAGCCAGCAGGAAGGCTGACGGATGTGCACCTGACTCAGGAAACCTGGGCTTCTTCAACAGGGAACAACTTTAACTAAGGGGAAATCAGGGCTAGCCTATGAGTCCCCAGACAAACAAACTGTCACTTATCATTCACGAATCTACCAGGCACTTTGGAGACACTGTGTCATTAAATGCTCCAAATGAGCCCATTTGAATCCCACTGTACATTTTACAGAGATGGTACTTGACTTGCCTGTATTTCACAGCCGGTAAGCTGCAGAGCTGAGACACGAACGCAGCTCTGGACCTAAACCCCCAGGTTCCTGACTGCTATCGTGTTCCATGTCAATGGTTGAGCACTTTACAGGTGCGGAGAGGGAGGCCTGCAGAGGAGAGGTGGCTTGCCCAAGATCATGTGGTGAGTTTGGACCAGGTCCGGGCTGGGACGAGGATGCAGGTCTCCGGGTACTCCCGCCCTCCCACTCCAGGTCACCACTTATCCCATCGTGTCTCATCCTGTTCTGTGTCTGCCCAGGGATCTGGGTTTGTGTATCATCTACAGGTAAATACTGAGGTTATATAACAAGCGGCAAAGGTTAAAGGAAGGTAGGGGGAGAAGATGGTGGGTCGCTGGTAGGCCAAGGGGGTTTTAAAAAACCCTGTGAACCAAGCTGCCCTGTAATAGGTGAGCCCACTCAAAGTCTATTAATGTATATTCAGATTTACCTTTCCACCTAGGTTTTTAATCACCACAACAGAGAATACTCCATTCCCCTGTGCTAGGCTCCAGAGAAGTAAGTAATATCTATTGTTTACCTAATACCCATTATATGCTAGACATAGGCCAGGGCTGTTACTGTTGCTGTGTGTGTGTATGTGTATGTGTGCTTTCACATTCCATCCTCAAAACAACCTAGTAACGTTGTTTCTATTATCATCCCTATTTTACAGACAATAATCCTGAGCGTCTCTCAGCTAGTAAGTAGCCAATCCTAATACAAAACCAGGCCTGTCTTACTCCCAAATCTTTTTCTTTCTGCCACATCATTCATTCATTCAATACTAGAATGAGCACCGACTCTGTGCCAGGCACTGATAGGGGCTGTGATTGCAGAGATGGACACAAAAGATCAAGATTCTCTTTCTGGAACCTACAACTGAGGGGAAGAGGCAGACGTTACGTAACTGTCCATTTTCAATTACAAGTATGACTCGTGCTTTTAAAGAGATGGTAAAGAGAAGTTGTTGGTGATCGTTTCTGGGCTGGGCTACTTCAAGTATAGAGAAACCAAGGCCCAGAGGGAGAAAGTCACTTGCCCAGACTCACAGCAGAGGGAGAAGTGGTGCCCAGCTCTGTCTCCCAGGCCACCACTCCTCCCACTAAACAACGCACCTGCCTCTGAAACTCCGAATCAGGATGAGTATTGCTGATAATTCTTATCAGCTCATGTCTGACTACTGAGAAATGTCATTTCCTGGTCCCTTGAGGGCCAGAATCACCCATCATCGCTGGCTCAGGGCCAGCAAGCTGGTGGTGTAGATGACATACATTGACAAGCTTACACACACGAGACAAAGTGACACTGGGAATGTGCCCAAAATACGTTTTTGCAAGAAGCTGGTAAGTACATGTGAGTCTATGACGCTTGTGAAAACGATCATAACTTATTCCACTTGCTGGGACACATCAGCACAGTAATCATTATTATTGTTAATATTAGCAGCTAACATATATTGGATGTTTGCTATGTGCCAAGCGCTGCTCTAGACATTTCATTCGTCATGGCTCATTTGTACTTTACTTAGTACTACAGGTATATTCTCATTATCCCATCTTACAGGTAAGGAAAGTTCAGCCAATTGCCCCAGGTTACACAGCTAGAAAGTGGGAGAGTCAGGATTCAAACCCAAAGAGGTAGAGACATGAGGAATCTCTCTCTCTCTTATTTCTCCCATGTCTGTAATCATCAACTGACTGTTTACAGCAATGAACATGAGATTCTCAGAAGATTACAGGATCAGAAGTGAAACCTACTCTTCCCTCCCAAACATAGGCACGGCACCATCCCGGGGACACGAAGGCTGCTGGGGTGATTTAGGACTTCCCATATACATGGGCTGAACCTCCAGCTTGGGAGGAAGTAGAGAAGGAGGCATCCAGCTTGCATGGCAGGTGGGCTGCAGAAGCTACCAGGCATCAGGGGTCCCAGGAGTGTGATCTGATTGGATCTGAAATGTCTATAAAGGCTGAGTATGTGTACAGACTTGCAGTCAGCC